CTGCACAACCATCAAGCGAGTTTTTCGATATGCGTGCTCACAATTGCTTCAGTGGGACTTCTCGCTGTAATTGTCCAAAATTGCAAAGAACCCATACCATTAAATACTTGGGTATTCAATTGGATAATTGTTTGAACTGGTATAGTCAAGTAGAATCCTTTGCTGGTCGGTTACGCAACCTAATCTATATCTTTAAAACTTTACGTAGCTCTGCGGATGCCGACATTCTGTCATCTGTGTACACCGCCCTTTGTGAATCAATCATAACATATTGCATCCCGATATGGGGTTGTGCCTCCAAGACTAACTTCATTAAAATTGAGCGCGCACAGAGAGCAGTGCTAAAGGTTATGCATAGGCGGCCTTGGAGATACCCGACCACACAACTTTATATGGATTGTAATGTACCTACAGTTAGGCAACTTTACATTCTTCGCACCATTCTGCGTCTACATTCAACTGTACCTCTAAATAGTTCTTCCACGCCAAGGAGGCGTCAAAAAGCCGCATGTCCTGTCAAAATATGTAGGACTTCTTTTGCTAAAAGCAATTTTCCTTCTCAAGCTCGCGGTTATACAATAAACTCGACAAAAAGTTACAGATAAATAAGTTCAATGCCTATGAAGTTAAAAAAAAGCTAATTTCGTACCTTAATGAATTAAATTATAATGCCACTGAAGCTTTAATATCCTAAACCTATAAACTGTACCCACTATCACGCACACAAGACACGCAATCACTTTCACACATGCACACAAACACACAAAACACACACACACACACACACACACACACACACACACACACACACTCACACACACACACACACACACACGCACACACAAACACACACATATTATCCCATACATATTCATCACTGTTATTTTTCTTTAACTGCCTGTTCATAAACTTATTACCATAATGTAATCACCAATTAAATCAACTCGCTATGCTGTTTTAAAAATATCTTATAAAGAGCCGAACCACCGACTTTCATAACACAGGTTACCCTAGCATGAAAGTCAGGGGATCAACTTATTTCTATGTCACTTAGGCTAGCCATCTTGTTACAATTTATCTACAATTACATTGTATTAAGTTTAAGGCTTTATTTGCCAATAAAAAAATTATTATTATTATTATTATTATTTTGTGGCATTCTTTGGGGGAGGCCTATGTTCAGCAGTGGACTTGTGAAGGGCTGTAATGATGATGATGATGATGATTATTATTATTATTTTCTGTTTTCTCAAATACCTCTGACAACACCCGTTACTGTTACGACCTCGTACATACATATTGTAGGGACAGTGGATTATAAAAGTTTTATATTAAAGTTAACTAAAACGACAACACATTGTTAAATCGTCTCCGCATGAATCCAGGACGAGGATAGAATATAAATAACACAGCATTATTAGAAATCAAGAAAAGCAAATTACATTGCATACGCAATAAATTCCTAGAAAAATGGTAATATCAGTTGTATTCTAAACACGATCTCTTCCTTCGCAGTTTCAATCAGTGCCGTTATTTGATTCCTGGCGTCGCTTCAGCTATGCTCATATAAACGCCGAGACTTTGTTATTCTTATAATATTATATTATATTGACTACCTCGTTGGTCTAGGGATCGTAAGTGCTACTGGTGATCATATGGTTCAAATCCCAGGTCTGCTGAAAAACAGTTATTGGGTTTTTCCGTGAAGAAATTCTCAGTTTCTCAGTTTAGCAGCCTTTAGTTAGAATTTTTGCGGTATTTAATTCCAATGCTATGATAAGCAAGTAAAGCATCTGCTTTACTTGCTTTTCATAGCATTGGAATGATCCTCATCCGAAAGAGAACATCTGTTCCCTCTCGGATTGTGTCGGATAGCCAGATGACCGGATTAGATTATCAGACTATGAGAGTGATTGATTAAAGAGAGCACTCTTGTGCTTGCGTTCAAAATCGTGCGCTTTAATCCTGTCCTGTGCTGTCTACTAGTATTTTTTTATTGTACTCGTATAAAGGTAAAACACGAGCACACAGTCCTATTAATGGGAAGCGCATGATATGACCGATAGATATTTACGTTTCATCATCACCATTACAGCCTTTCATAAGTTCACTGCTGAACATAGGCCTCCCCCAAGGAATGCCACAGAGCACGGTCCAGAGCCACCTGCATCCATCGACTGCATGTCTTACCAGGTCGTCACTCCATCTCGTGGGGGGTCGCCCTACACTTCGCCTAGCGGTACAACGCTGCCACTCTAGAACGTTTCTTCCCCATCGGTGGTCGGCTCTTCGAGCTATATGGCCAGCCCACTGTCACTTCAGCTTACTAATCCGTTGGGCTATGTCGGTTACTCTGGTTCTACTGCGGATATCCTCATTTCTAAGTTTATCACGCAGAGTAACCCCGAGCATAGCCCTCTCCATAGCTCGCTGAGCGAACTTGAGCTTCCTCATACGGCCAGCAGTGAAGAACCACGTCTCAGATCCGTAAGTCATCACTGGCACCACGCACTGGTTGTACAATTTCGTTTTAAGGTATTGAGGTATATTTAACGAGAATATGTGTCGTAGTTTCCGGAACGCTGCTCAGCCAAGTTGAATCCGTCGATTGAATCCTCTCGGTCGAAGTTCGACTTATCTAGTCGGACTATTTGTCCCAGGTAAACATACTCATCAACAACTTTGAGCTTAGTGCTCCCAACAACTACCGGCATAGGTGTTATATGGACATTACACATGATCTTTGTTTAGTCCATGTTCATCTTTAGACTTATCCGTTGGGAGACACTATTGAGGTCATTGAGCATGGTGCTTAGATCCTCCAGCGATTCTGTCATAAGGACTGTATCGTCGGCAATTCGAAGATGAGTGATGTACTCGCCTTTGATGTTAATATCGTATCCTTTCCAGTCCAGAGGCTTGAAAACGTCTTCCAATGCAGCGGTGAAGAGTTTCGGGGATATAACATCACCCTTTCTTACACCTCTCTGCAATTAGATAGGTTTCGTACTCAGGTTCTGTACTCTGATAGCTATCGTGGCCTTACTGTACAAGCACTTCAGCACCTCGATATACTGACAATCAACTTGGCACTGCTGAAGGGACTGCAGCACCGCCCAAATTTCAACGGAATCAAAGGCTTTCTCATAGTCCACATACGCCAGACATAGTGGCAAATTGTACTTCTCGGACTTCTGTACAACTTGCCGAAGGGTATGTATGTGGTATATGGTGCTAAAGCCCTTTCGGAAACCGGCTTGTTCGGGAGGCTGGAAGTCTTCAAGTCTGCGCGCGAGACGTTTCGTAATGACTCTCGAAAACAGCACGTAGACGCGGCTCAGAAGGGAAATCGGTCTGTAGTTCTTCAAGACAGCGTTGTCACCTTTCTTAAAGAACAAGACCACCGCAATTCTGCACCACGCCTCCGGTGTAAAGCCATCATGGAGGACGGAATTAAAGAGCTTCTGAAGGATTTCAAGTTCCGGTATTCCACCCGCTCTCAGAAGCTCCGCTGTAATTCCATCCTCGCCTGGGGCCTTGCCGTTTTTAAGGTGCTGGGGAGCCATTCTAATCTCGCTCAGACTGACGTCGGGGATATCTTCGGAATAGTGTCGGATGAGACTCGCTCATGGATCATTACTCACACTTGCGTGTGGCTCCAACGATGACGTGTACAGCTGCCCATAGAACCTCTTAATCTCACTCAAAATCTCAGGTGCCCCGGAAACGGTGCTGCCACAATCGGTCTTCAGCTTTGTCGGTTGGCTCTTCTTGGCAGACAGATCTCTGGCAAAGGCTTTGGACCCTTGTTTCCGCTCGATCGCTTCTTCAATACAAGCTGTATTGAAGTTGCGTAAGTCCCGCCGCATGCATTTGGAGATCTGTCTGTTCAAATGCATGTATGCTGTCAAATCTGTTGAAGAATGTAGCTTCATCTCCTGTCTAACAGCCAAGAAATTAAGAGTGTGATCGGAGAGTTTTTGTGTTCTTCTCCGGCGGGTCTTGCAGAACAGTTTCAGTCCGACCGCATGGACAGTTTCCACTAGCTTTTCATTCATATCGTCCACTTCATTGCAGTCTTCTAGGCACTGAAAACGGTTTTGTAACTCGAGCTGAAAGGTTTCGGGACTTTGGAACAGAACACGAGGGGATCGGAGCGTTGACTTCATTAGACGAGACCTCTCCAACTTAACGTTTAGGTTCAGTGTGCCTCTAACCATTCGGTGATCGCTACCAGTTTTCACCCTCGCGATCACGGAGATATCACTGAACAGTTGCCGCCTGGTCGTCATAATTAAGTCAATCTCATTTTTGTTGAACCGTCGGGGCGTGCCTCTTTCTCCATGAAGTCGGCCAGCTGCTGACCTCTTGGGTTCCGTTGCCCTATTCCAAATTTCCCTACTTTCAGCTCACCGTTCTCTCTTGTACCTAGTTTTGCATTGAAGTCTCCCATTAAAACCGTATATTGGGTTTTGGAGGAATGCATGGCTCTAGAGATATCCTCATACATTTCCTCCACCTCCTCATCGAGGTGTGCTGAGGTTGGTGCGTAAACCTGTATGATCTTCATCGAATACCGTTTGGTGATACTGAGTATAAGTATCACCAATCGGTATTCGATGAAGGTATTCGATGAATATACTGTTATACGGGACCTCGTAAACTAGGTTTTAAAAAAAGCACTTTTATTACACAACGGAAATAGTATAATTTTGAAATAGAAATGGTTACAAATTTTAAGTAGCCCGGAGTCGAAACTGGCAGACACGAGATGATACAGAGGTGTTATGGATTCAGCGGTCGGGCAGAGACTAACTTGTTCCCGGGAGCGGGAAGCAGAGCTGCCTTTAAATGATGACATGACTATTTAGAGGAAATCTATGTAATCACTTATTACCTATGATTAACGGTTTTCCCTAGCATTGGGAAACCGTAACAGCCCCCCGATTTCGAGTAAACTACACCCTTAAAAGTGGAGTTTATGTTATAGTAAATATAAATTAGCCGATTCGAAGAGAAGGTCCCGTGTTAATATTTGAGGGGTTACTGTCATCTAATTCAATGTCCTTAAATTCAGGAGTTTTATTTTCTTTAGATTTCATTATTTTCTTGTGTATGCAAGTTTTATACATCTTATAAATAATAAAGCACATAATAAAAACTATAATTACAATTGTGATACCTGAATAATATTTTTGATATAAAACAATATGTGGTTTTTCAATTATACTGTTAAGGCTTTTCAGGATTTCAGGATCATCATAAGCTAAGGAATCTAAGTTAACATTCTTAAGATTAACTACCGGTAATTTTGATACAATGTTATTAAACGCTACAATATTACAACAGGAATCATTTAAAATGTTAAAATTAGTTACAATAGTTTTCAATTGAATTTCACGATTTTCATGCGGTGTTAAACGAGTGTCTTTACAGTAGGCGACACATTCAGAAGGTAAGTACAATATACCATTTCCACTAAATTATGTTTCAGTAGCTTGGGAGTTATTACATTCAATACTTATTTTAGTTTTTTCAGACATTACAAATAACCATCTATTATAGCGTAGTGGCTGCCAGATGCTAACATGACCATGAATAAATTTAGTATCACAAATCGAAGGAATTGAGGTCAGTACTTTTGTAATTATTTCGCTTTCACAGGAGGGCATCGCGGAAGAGGAATACAGTATTGGTGTTTGACAAAGGTAGTGATAATTTTTTATTACTTTACAATAATCTAGGTTATCTAACTTACAATACATTGATCTATCTTTGCTTATACCAATATCTTTGGAGGATGGAATAATGGTCGAATATGACTCTGGATTATTTTTGTCATGAGCGACCAGCGAAGGTAAGTTATGATATATGTTTAAGTGTATAGGGTTAATGATAGGGATTTTTACTGCAAACACTACTTTTTCTTTATTGAAGTAACTAGATATCTCTGATATATTTAAAATAGTATGCATGTTATCGAGTATTAAAGGAACTGGGAGTTGTTTAGATTCGGGTAAGAATCTGTAGTTTTCGACCAATTCGAGGTAAAGTTCTTTAGGTGTTAGGATAGTAGGATACAGGATATTAGATTTGCTAAACATGATAGCATTAATTATGTCCTCAACTTTGAGGACAACTTTGCTAGGAGACTACTTTCTATCATGGAAGTTAATTCCAGCATGCGAGATCTAATACCTAATTCTTTTGAAGCGTAAATTAGATTTAGGATGTCTTGGGACAGTCCATCAATTGCGTTTTTAGGTGGTTTTCATTTAGTCTAATTTTATGCAAAGTTTCGTTAAAAGATCTGAGCGAAGAGGTAGTGACTAGTATATTTTCCTTCATCAGGAGGGCTAATCTCTTTTGGTCTATTTCTACTTCTGTAATGGCGTTGTCATATCGGATGGCATCGTCTTTATCCATTGTTCCAAATAACTTTTTTGATGCAGTGCCTACGAATCCTAGAAGTTCAGACCTTCTCGACTGGCGAGACGTAAGATGGAAGATGGCTTCGTTGTCATGGGCTATATCATTATAACGAGTGTTCAACGGTTCAAAGAGATTAGTACATTCCAAACGATCAAAAACTTTGCCATCCTTACATACTTATTTGGGTTTATCTAGGACTAGTCGCAGATTTAGAAAATGTGGATTGATAAAAGATACATCATACGGGATAACTACACTAAGATAACTATCAACTAAACTTAAGGGACCTAAAGGGTCGAAGTAGATACCAGGACTGTTCGTCAAAGACGTATTGAATTCTTGACTCAGCGCGGAATTACTGTATAAGAATATAATTAAAATTAGTGTTATGTATATAACTAGGGTTACGTTTCAGATCTAGGAGCTAATTTAACTTCGTCATAGTGATGAGTCACATGTCGTCTACTTATGAGTAATGTCAAGGTGTTTCTGCCATTAATTTTTACAACCTTATACGGTCCTTTCCAAATAGGCGAAAGGGCTTTGCGCAGACGCACATGATTTTTAAGATATACGTAATCTCTTACTTTATACTGAACGGGCCGTGACCAGGTGTCGTAATACTGTTTAGATCTTTCCTTAGATCTTTGTATGTTTTCTAAGGCTTTTTCGCGTGAAAGTTTTAGACGATGGTGTAGAGATTTGAGATATTCTGGATATGTAAGGTCCGATTGTAATTCGTAGACAGAGTCCGGGATAAAAGGCTTCTGACCGAAGAGGAGTTCGTATGGTGTGAAATTAGTAGTGGAATGAGTAGATGTGTTATATGCCAACATAGCGGTATTAAGGTACTCATTAAGTGTGGAGTGACTGCGCTCAAGTGCACCTTGCGTTTGAGGATGGTATGGAGAAGACCAGATTTGTTTAATTTTCAGGAAGTTGCAGGTTCTTTTAAATAGGTCTGCGGTGAAGTTTGTGCCTTTGTGATCTAATGAGATGAAGGAATAAAGAGTTCTTTCCCTATCTAAGAGTTCTTTAGAGTTTTCGAGGTTACTTAGAATTTCTTCTACGTGAGGGTTGGAGTCATCGAGATCGATGGAAGTAGGTATGACAATGATTTTGCAGTTAGTTTTCAGGATGCTTTCGTTGTGTTCTAGGATGTTAGCGTTACTATTAAAGTCTTTGTTGCCCATTGTTTTTAGGAATTTGCTATAATTATTGTCACGAGAAGGATTTGGTATAGGATCTGGAGATTTGTCAGATGTGGTCGGTGTAGGAGGATCGTCGATACCTGGTAGTGAATCATCGTTTTCCAAGAGGTCTACAGAAGATAGTTTATAGTCGAGGTCTAAGGAATCAGGATGTAGTTGGATGTCAAGATCGTCAAGAGTAAGACGGCTGAATTGAGGTGTGGAGTTATCTTCATTTTGATTAGAATTGGATGGAATAGGACCAGAGTCTGATGGTTGAACTGGGTTTACAGGATATCGGGATAGGGCGTCAGTAGCGGCATTAAGTTTTCCTTTCTTGTATTCGATCTCATACTCGTATTCTATTAGTTTTAGGTGCCATCTTTGTAACTTGCTACTAGGATCTTTATGATTAAACAACCACTTTAGTGGTCTATGGTCAGTAATGATTTTGAATTTTTGTCCATAGTGATATGGGCGAAAGGTTTTACAACCGAACAAAATAGCAAGGAGTTCCTTTTCGGTGGTATTTTAGTTACATTCGCTTTCGTTGAGTGTCCGAGAGGCAAAGGCTATTGGCCTATCTTTGCCAATTGGACCTTGACTGAGTACAGCAGCAACAGCATAATTAGAGGCATCACATGTTAGGATGAAAGGGATGGAAAAATCTGGATAAATGAGGATGGGAGCAGAGGTAAGTTTGTGCTTGAGTTCGTCGAAGGCGACTTGTTGTTGGTTTTCCCATAGAAAGGGGACACCCTTTTTTAGAAGTTGAGTTAAAGATTTAGCAATTTCTGAGAAGTTGGCAATAAAACGCCGATAATAGGATACAAGACCGAGGAAGGACTTAATGTCTTTCGGGGATTTGGGAGTAGGAAATTGAGTTACCGCTTTTACCTTTTCAGGGTTAGGGTTTACACCATCTTTAGTTATTTGATGGCCAAGATATGCGACTTCACGTCGGAGAAACTCGCACTTGTCAGGTTGGAGTTTTAAATTGTAGTTTCGAAGCCTTTGGAATACTGAAGAAAGGTTATCAATATGAGAATTTAAATCATGAGAATATATGACAATGTTGTCAAGGTAGACAAAACACCGTATACCTTGGAGGCCTGTGAGCGCGGTATTCATTAATCGTTGGAAAGTGGCAGGCGCGTTTTTTAAACCAAACGGCATTTTTGTAAATTGGTAGTGTCCTTGTGGTACACTAAAGGCTGTTTTGGGAGCGTCTTCCACATTGATTAAAATCTGGTGAAATCCTGACGCAAGATCAAGGGTTGAGAAGTATTTGCTCTGTCCTAGCTCATCTAAAATTTCGGATATTTGCGGTATAGGGTAGCTGGCACCAACAGTGATGTCGTTTAATTTCCGATAGTCGATAACTATACGCCATTTTTGTTGTCCGGATGCGTCAATTTTTTTGGGACAATCCAGATTGGTGAAGACCATGGGGCCTCAAAAGGTTTTATGATTCCCTGGTCGAGCATTTGGTCAATTTGTTTTTTTACTTCTTGTTTATGTACCTCTGGGAACCGATAAGATTTTACATTTATGGGATTTTGATCGCTGGTTTTTATGTTATGCTTAAGGGCATTTGTATGGGAAAGTTTGTCGCCAGGAATAAAGAATATGTCCGAGTATTCAGAGCAAACATCGTGAAGAGCGTTTGTCTCTTCAGGATTGAGGTGGGAGACTCTAAGTTGGTTTAATACTTCTTGTGTTCGGAGGTAAGAGTTTGTGTTTTTTAAATTGCAAGCTGTGTAAGTGTTTACTGTATCAAAAGGTTTGGTTAAAGAACTTAAGGGAATTAGTGTAATATCTAGGTTTGACTGTAGGGTTATAGGAGTTTCAGAGGTATTGATTACTGATAAGTTAATTCTTTTGTTTTCTTTGACTGCGACTAAGCAATTAAGCGATTAGTAAATTTTCATGATAATATTGTTCTAGTACGAGTCCTTCTTTTACTTCAGGGTTGGAGACAGAGCATTATATGACGGTTTCAGATCTGGGAGGAATAACATTAGTAGGTTCATTGAAATGTAATTTTATTTCATTTCCACCTATTTTCAAAGTTTCACGAGTGTTATCGATTGTGCAGCCAAAAGCGATTAGCATATCAGTGCCAATTATACCATTATAAGGTAAGTTTACTTGAGGTATTATATGGAATCTATGTGTGATACTATTTTTATCATTTATTTTTATCTTAAGTGGAAAATGACCCATTGTAGGTGAAGCTTGGTCAATAGGGTCAATATTTCAGAAATATTACTTCTGTTGCGATGTCGACTGGTTTTTGGTTTTGTAGATCAAGATAGTTTCAGTAGGCTAACTGTTGCACCAGAGTCTACAAGGAGAGATAAGGTAGTGTCCGATACTGAGGAATACACAAGGATATGGGGTAAACGTTTCTTGAATGGACCAATGTTAATTTCATAAATTCTGGTTTCAGGAATGGGACGAGGAACAGTTGAGTCTAAGGTAGGTTTAGCACATATGGAATGATTGATTTTACGTTTGGTGAGGCCGGTGGATACAGAGGATACAGCGGGAACAGAGGATGCAGAGGGCGCAGTGGATGTAAAGGATACAGCGGATGTAGAGGATACGGTGGGTACAGTGGATGCAGAGAATACAGTGGATGCAGAGGATACAGTGGATATAGTGTTACGTTCATTTCGCGAGTCCCTAATATAAGGGGATACAGAGGATACAGTGGATGTAGTATTGGTGCCTTTGATATAGTAATGTTTTGGAATTCGATGCTTGGGTCTCACGAGACACCACCGTGAGCCCTTTTAGCGTTTAAATCATCGTTTGATTTACCCTGACCTTCCGTGTTGTCACTACTTTCGTTAATGTCTACCGCGTGGATTTGGGCTTGATTGTTTTGATAGCGTCTTTGATTATTTTGGTCTCTAAAGCGGTTATTATTAAACTCCCGTTTCCTACAATTCTCGATAGTGTGACCCACGTTTTTACAATAACGGCACTCTGGAGGACCTGAAGTAGACGGCCCTTGACTGTTCGTATTGTTTGAGTAGCCTCTCTGTGTAGGGTTTCGACTTGTTTGTGATTGGCGTTGAGGCCAGCGTCCTTGATTAGGCGAACTGGTATTTTTTGCCGAAGGATTACGCTTAGAAGAGGTCTGCAATATCTTTTTTTCGGATACAGCGAAGCCAATGGCTTCATTTAAGGTTTCAGGGTCACAGCATCTGACTACCTTTGACAGTCGAGGATATAAGCCACTTACAAATGTATGCAATGCTAAATCTTGCATTGCGGCGACACGGCCAGTCAGTTCACCTTTCTTTTTCGTGGGTATTGAGATATTGATTTCGGTTAATAGTTTTGATAGGCATGTTTCTGCGCGTAGTGCGAACTGGTTGACTGTTTCACTATTAGTTTGAAAACAATCTTGGAGGCCCAAGACTAGTGCAGCGTAATGCTTTTTCTCGCCAAATTGGTTTTTGAGAAACTCCTCTAACTGTTGCCAGTTCTCGAATTCTTTAATGGAGCACGCACTTTTGGCACGGCCTTCGAGTTGGTTTAAAATATATTTTAATATTATGTCTTGTTGAGACGGTGACGCAAGGTTTATTGCATTTCTGCAATTATTTAAAAACGCATTAAGTTTTTCGCGGTTTCCATAAAATTTATTAATTAATTTACTTAGAAAGTTCATGTCGATTTCTTTTGCTTCTTTAGACATGGTAATAGGCTCGTCCTTAGGCATAGCAAGTTAGTCAAAACAAAGATAACGCGTGAGGTACGGAGTTGAGATTAGAATGGAATGTTGCAATATTCTCGGAACTGAACGATAAAGAAATAATACAATGAATGATTAATTAAATGTTACTAAGTCTAATACTTTTAAACTCTTATTACATTAAATTAAATTGAAGTTATGCGATGGACTTTATAGTTAAATCTCTGACACACTTTTTTTCACAACACGAATAGCTTCGATGTAGAATGAATATACTTACAGGAACACTGCAACTATGACGGCAACACGAATCATTTCGTAGCCAGGCGAGATCACCCAAGGTGAGTGATAGGTCTTCGGAGTATGCCTAACAAGGCACGTGAGGGTCTGATAAGACTAGCAGGATACAGCGGTGTTTAATAGAGATACAGCGACACCGAGATAAGATTGGGATTTAGCACTTTTTACCGACACAATTACACGTATACATGGAATTTATTTTGTTTAATTTTCACTGAATTGAGGCGTTCCGAGGATTTATTTTTCTTTTAAATCCCTTAAGCTGCCACCAATGTTATACGGGACCTCGTAAACTAGGTTTTAAAAAAGCACTTTTATTACACAACGGAAATAGTATAATTTAGAAATAGAAATGGTTACAAATTTTAATTAGCCCGGAGTCGAAACTGGCAGACACGAGATGATACAGAGGTGTTATGGATTCAGCGGTCGGGCAGAGACTAACTTGTTCCCGGGAGCGGGAAGCAGAGCTGCCTTTAAATGATGACATGACTATTAAGAGGAAATCTATGTAATCACTTATTACCTATGATTAACGGTTTTCCCTAGCATTGGGAAACCGTAACAGTACGCAACCCTCGTCGACACACTCTCAATCTTTACAACGTTGTTAACGAGAGACTTGTGGACGATAAATCCGATATCTTCTTGAGGCAAATGGTCACCCTACCGGTGATAGAGCAAGTTGCCGGATTCGAGGATTACCGTGTTCTCCCCCTCTTTTCGGACTTCGGATAATCCTATAATATGCCAGCGTAACTTGTCTATCTCTTCTTCCAGCTCCACAATCTTCTCGTCAGTCTTCAGGGTGCGTGCGCTGTATGTTGCCAGGTCGAGTCGTCTTAGGTGGCAACCGAACCTCTATCGGAGATTCTTAGCACCCTCTGCCCCGCCTTTACCATGGTCGCCATCGTAGCCGGGAATAGCGGGGCCGCCGGGAACTGGAGGCCATCTCTTTGTTGCTCTCATCATCGTCGGGGAATTTGCCATAGTTGCCACGCTTGGCACGCAAAAAACTGCGTCTACCAACCCGCTCGGGGTTGGTAGACGCAGTTTTTTTATTGTAGTTTTGCTGTTATCAGGAAGATGCTGCTGCCCATCTCCTGCCTGTTTCCCTTTGTCGCCTTTTACGACACCCATGGGAAGATATGGGGTAGTGGATATTCTTAACCGCCACTACACGGCACATATATTTACGTTTATCCTCAGTAAAACACCCCTGAAAACTAAGATGGAATGCCTCCTTTCCAGAAAAAAGGGTCTCCGGTTCTCTATACTTCCCATACTCAACAGTAGAATTAAGCTACTATTTACGCTGGTATTCTGTGAGAGCATGGTCCTACCCCGGTCAAGCCGACCGATTTCTGCTGTAGCCATAGTTATAGCTGCGGCGTGGCTCCAGCACGTAAAATATTGCTTTGGAATTGGTTTTGTGACCGAAAAATTCGGTCTGGAGGACATTATTCTCTGTTTTTAATGTGAACCAGTCACGGAAGTCGTAGGCTAGCGTGATATGGGCATACTATGCAAAGAAAAGTAAACCAAAAGGAAGGAATACGTATGAACGTTAGGAATGATATACGCAAGAAAGGAGTGAGTAAAGAGATGACGGCTAATGGAGGAGAATAGAAGAGGAAGATATGCTATGCCAACCTAAAATAACTGGGGATAAGAACAGGAAGAAGAAAACGTTATTCTTATATGGAATATTTATATCATAGTCAACATTTCTATATTATTAGATTGTTTGCGCCGTGTGGTGGCGGTATATGAGAATTCATCACTCCATTTACTCCCGTTGGTGCAGCTAGAGGTGTTTGGGAAATGCTAGAAAAATCTTATGGAGAGGCAGGCCCATATAATAAGACTATAATGATTGGCAACATGTAAACATACTTCTTCTTTAGCGAGTTTTTCTCCAGTTCGCCAGTTTGTTAATACGGGGCCAACATACTTCTCCGTTACGATATTTGCTATAGTTGCAACTACTAAAAAAAGTCTGCACCGCAGTTTTTTAATAGTACTAGTTTTTTAATAGTGTCGCCTCTAATGACATCCGAGGCATGAAATGTGGTTGTGAGCTTTCTTAAACCGCCACTACACGGTATATTAACACGTTAACTGTCCCCATACAGAATTTTTCGAGAACCTCACATGTCCAAATCAGGTTTTGTATTATTCTGTGTCAAATTAATTCAAAATGACTAATTTTGGATATTTAATCTACATAAACAACTAATTATCCGGTTTTTCTTACCTTTTGATTGTGTACCGTATTCGGTACACTTATCGAGTTGAAGTAGCGAGTAAACTTAGCGTGTACCGTGGACTTGTGAACGGCGAGTTTTAAAAAAAAAAGTTTTTCCATTCATATTCTGATGATGATATCAAATAAAAAGTGACATCTCAACTTCAAAGCTTTCTAATTTTGGCCGTTAAT